AAACAGCCCCCCCCCCCCCCCGTCTCCTAGTATATTACCGCAAAAAATCCATGACTTCCCGCTCTGTTATGGCGATTTTTTTTTGTTTTTTCATAAAACTGCAGCTAAGAAACAAGAATGAGAAAAATAAGGCAATGGTTCTGTAGCGAAATGGTAAAACGGTTTAAGATGTTTCGTTCGAAAAAGTCAAATGATCACATTCATCTGGAATTCATATAGAATGTTTAGGATCCCAGTTGAATTATCTATTAATTTTCCTAGAATTTTTCTACATTTCCTTTTTAAGTTATTTAGGATGGATATACATGGGCTTCTTACACATGAGCTTTTTGGAGATTTTTCTATTTAGCACGAAACTGGGTTATCACCTGAACTGATAATATCGTTTCATGCAAATTTGAGAAACCGCCATAAGGGCCCATGTATAAGAAGCTAAATTGAGTGTTAATTGGGTGTTATAAATTGTAAGCAAAATATATAAAAATTTGAAAAAAAATCCTATAAAAATTTAGATTCGATGTGATTACTGTTATAAGTAAAAAAATGTCATTATTATTTCACATATGAAACCCCCGGTGGCTTGGCGCAGTGGGTAAGTTCGTTGCCTCACATGCGAAAGGTTCCGAGTTCAAATCCCGGCCGGGTAGATTGGTGCGACGTAACCATTTAAAGTCTTGATCATCATCGCAGTATACCCTAACGGGGTCGAAGCGATGTAAAATAACCATAAAAAAAAAACATATGAAACCCCTCGAGATGAAATTTGAAAGACTTCGGTTGATGAAAATAACTATCGAGCGACTTTTGATATGGGGCAGCTAAAAAACTAAGAAAAATTTCGTACACAATCCATTTTACACTGTACGTCAGACGAAAACGTTTTTCGTGTTTTTGGCTTTGAAATGCTCCTCACAGCACAATTTTCATCCGACTTAAACTTTTTTCAAAATGTTCGTTAAATTCCTTAGACTAAAAATGGGTATTTTTTCGATCAATTCGGTTAGATCATAGAAAAATTATTTTTGTTTGATTTCGTCAACTAAAGATAGACATCAACTTCAGAACCGTATATGTATCATTTTTCTCCCGAAAACACCGTTTATATACTATTTTGATGTGCAACTACCCTGAATAATGATTTTTATACGTAATGAAAACGGAAAAAAATGAGTAAACCTGAGTAAAATGAATAAAATGAGTAAATTTGACTTCAAAGAATAACGGATACATCCGTTTTACGATCCATTGAATATAATAGATCATGGAAAAATTGGAGAACTTTTCTTATTCGTTTATTACGTTCGCATTAATTTATGAATCTTCCATTTTTTCTAATTTTTTCATCATCCGTTCAATGGATCGTAAAATAGATGCATATCCTTATTCTTTAGAGACTAACGAACATTTTGAAAAAAAGTGGTCAATCGGATGAAACCGACACAACGATGATTCTTAAGGTAAAAATGAAGACCGTTTTTTTTTTCGTTGATTGAGGGGGTAAATGCATACAAAAATATATCTCAAAATTCGCTCAATAATTCCCTAGCTCCCTTTAAATGTTTGTGATACTGTTTGAACCCTTCGTGATTTATTGCATTGTTGACCTCGCAGCATTCTGAAAATTGAATTTCTGGGATAGTTTAAAAGCTGATGAAACCTTTTTTTTTCATGAGAAAAAGGGGACAGGAACAAAATAGCATTTGCAATTTCCTCAATTAAACATGGAAAAAAATATAGTGTGACATCACTACTTAAGCTACACCGTCCCCTTCTTCGACACAAAGCGTCACAAACTACAGATCCTGCTCTCCCATAATCAGATGACGTAATATTTGAATGGCTCCTAATGAACTTGAATTACAGAAAATTTCTTCAGTTGATTTAGTCGTTGAATCTTAAGGAATATATTCCGTGCCATTGAATTATTGAGAATCGAGCCAGTTCTGAAAAATTGACATAATTATTACGTAGATGACGAATATATTTGTATAAAGTTTCAATAAATTTACAAATTCAATTATTGATTGCTTTTTTTTTGTGTTTAATTATATGTGAACGTCCGCATGAAACGGGACCACTTTGTCAATATGGAGTTATGTATACTCTGATAATATTAATAACATTCCACACATTTTGAGCTCAAAATCATTCTCGTATGCACTGTTAAAAAAATTTCACTGAATTTTCCAGAAAATGACACTGAATTCAATTTAACGGAAAAAAGTCTATGAAATTTCAAGTTTCTCTGAAAATTCAAGGAAATTCCTGATTTTTCAGTGGAAGAATCACGAAGATTCCGAAATTTCCATGAATTTTCAATGTAAACATGATAATTCAATAAGAAATTGCTCTGAAATTTCAAAAAATGGAAAATTCAAGGACATTTTTGCTTGAATTTCCCTAATTTCCATTAATTTTCATGGAATAATTTAACTGAAATCTAAAATTTCCATGAATTTTCCACGAAAACCACGAATTTTCAATGGTAAAATTCCCTGAAATTTCAATGAAACCGTTACTTGTTTCATATTTCAAGACTAAAGCCTGGAAACTTCAGTGAAAATTTTTTAACAGTATGGTCAGAAATGACATCGCTGGAGCAGACGCAAAAAACAATTTTTGTCATTTCAACCGTAAGGCAGGGCTTCACGGACGCATAGCGTTGCTTACAGCCGTTATGACAAAAAATATTGTTCGTCGTACGGCCTAAAAAAACTTTTCTAGATCATATGATTGCAACCCTCGTCCTCGACTCGGACTGCAAACTCATATTCGCCAAAAAAGTTTTTTCGGCCTAATGACGAAATATACTGTTAACATCGGTGTAAATGTCATTCGGTTAAAGAAAAACGTGAATATCTCGGAAAATAGAATCACCAAAGTGATCCCTTTTCATGCGGACGTTCACGTATTGTCTCTTGTTTGATGGGGTGTTTGTCAGCGGTTATAGTCCAGGATTCACAGAAGGAAATCACATCACCAGCCAAGTGGTAAAGGATAACAAGTCGATAAATCGTTAATTTACATTAGAGCTGGCGAGAGGGCAAGTGTCGATAGTCAATCCATACCTTTTTATTCCTTGGGGCAGGCAAAAATAAACATTCATATGGATGCAGTAATTCCTGTCCCACTGTATCATTCAAATTGCTGATCCTAATCTTCGGGCGAACGTCTGGTATACGAGGACTGAACTGCCCCATTTCAAGGAAGAAAATCGACTGATTAAAGAGGGGAAAAAGTCAAATGTTGATATTGAAGTATGAGCTTCCATTATCTATTTTAAGACTAGATGGAGAATTAGCGAGAAAACTCAATTTTCATGCAGTGGCATTCGACCTATCGACAAAACTAGGGGAAATATTAATGAGAGTCAATGAAAATTTGAGCAAAGTTTGAGCGAATGGTGAACATCAATTACGGAAAGTTTCTTGAGCTAATTTAGTCACTGAATTTTAAGAAATATATTGCGTGCTATTAAGGTGTTGAGAATTGAGCCAGTTTTGAACAATTGACATAATTATACTCAGGTGAGGAATAGATTTGTATGAAATTTCAATAAATCTACAAATTCAATTGTTGATTGTTTTTGCTTCTGAATGGAAGCGTTGTAATCACTCAAATTTAAGTTTCCAAGTTTTTGTGTTAGGATAACTAAATGTGGCTTAAAAAGTTCGAATATCCAATTTTCAGATGAATTTTTAAAGACATGTATGCATGTATGTATCACGTGTGTATGTACGTATGTTTTTTTTCTTCATTTTTTTTCAAAATTGCCTTATAAGGGATCATTCGAATTCCATGAATTTCTACATGAATATAGACTTTAATAAGCTTTATTCGTCAACACCTATTAAAATTCAATTTTTCATATAGATTCGAAAAAATTGATATTTTCCAAAAATCTATTTTTCAACGATCACTCTTAAAATTATCATAAAAATTGAAAATTAGTTACGGCTCAAAAAATTGATGTCAATACCCTTTTGATTCTATCAGAATGTGATGGGGGTCACTTTTCATTGTTGAGTTACAGCACATTGTTTTTGCAATTTAAAACAGAAAATCGTTTTCTTAAAATTACTGAAAGACTCATCAGAAATATCAATTAAATCGGGGCTTGAAAAGTATATTTCAATGCGTTCTTAATCAAGTTGAAAAATATTGAGAACAGCATTATTGCTTATCAAAATCTTTATCTCTTTTAAACTCAGGTATCAGTCTATTATGTTGAATACTTATTCATGTTGATTCATTGTTCCGACTAACTTCTGACAGAACCTGAGTAAAACTTTGGTTAAATCTTGTATAAATCCTGATTAAATCCTGGCTATACAGTGATTAAACCCTGATTGAACTTCGATTAAACCCGGACTGAAAAGGAATTCGACTTTTGAGAGGGTCTGAATGTAGAATCAATTGGCAGAACTACATAATACGCAAAATTTTGATGGCATTTCAATTGACGATAGTACTATAACATGAAAAAATAGAAGAAGAGGGTAGTGAAATAAGAATAAAAAAACAGAATTCATTCGGAAGCAAATTGCTCATTTATTAACAACAATAGCTGCACCCATTTATTTAAAAAATGCAATTATCCACTTGCTGGAATAGGGAAGAGTATTAAAAAATCATCAATCCTTAATACGTGTTTCATTCTTTTATTTTTTGTTTTCCTCGCAATACAGAAAAAGCATATACATAAAAAATATGCCTTACACCTAAAAACTTGTGTTAATAGTCAGATTCATTTTTTTTTCATTTTCCATACTTTTTTCCATGTTACCTCGTGGAAGATGCGAATTAATACTTTTCATACATTATAATTTCCGTTTTATTTAATCTCTCATCTTTTTTTCTGTAAACGTTTCACCATGATTCCTTAGTAAATATGAGTTAGTTTATCCATTTGTGTTATACATTTTGGCAACAAATATAAAATAGCCTGCATTCACCTTAAATTAAATTCCATCTCTATAATGT